AGTGCCAAAACCACTTCTAACTGGTTTGCTGACCATGATATTACTTTGCTTGATTGGCCAGCCAACTCGCCTGACCTGAACCCCACAGAGAATCAATGGGGTATTGTGAAGAGGAAGATAAGTAACATCTGACACACAATACAGATGAACTGAAGGCCGCTATCAAAGCAACCTGGGCTTCTATAATGCCTCAGCAGTGCCACAGGCTGATCGCCTCCATGCCACACCGCATTGAAGCAGTAATTTGTGCAAAAGGACCCCCAACCAAGTATTGAGTGCATAATTAAACCTACTTTGGAGATCTTGAACATTTCGGTTTTGTAAATCTTTTTTTGATTGATCTTTGAGAAAATATTCAACATTTTTGAGATTCTGAATTTTTTATTTTCCTAAGCTGCAAGTCGTAACCATCAGAATTAAAACAAAAAACTCTTGAAATATTTCAGTTTGTGTGCAATGAAGCTAGAATAGAATTAAATTACAAAAAATAAAGACCTTCTCCTTGATATTCTAATTTTTTTTAGATGCACCTGTATTTTAAGCATCAGTAGTAATATTTTAAGTCAAGCATTCAGCACAAGGTCAAACAAACATCTCTCTAGGCTCACCGCTAATCAACACTAACACAACTTTATATGGAGTAGGTATGAAAGGGTTTGATGAAGGATGGACAGATCACTCACCCTGTAGAGGTGGAGAAGAGAGGAGACCATAAGAGCCAGTGCTCCACATGTGATGCCTCCCAGCACGTTTAAAAAGATAATCAGGAGAATCTGAGAATGAAGACGAAGCGTGCCGCAATACCGGGACACTGAAGGTCTGCAGACAACCACAGAGTCACACACACATGACATTGAAACATTTCTGAAAAGATCTGCAAAAACATAGTTATTAAATAGATTCTATGGCAAAAAGTTAACAGTGTCATCTATTAACTGCACTGGGTTGGTTGTTATAACACACACACACACATACATACATACATATATATATATATATATATATATATACACACATACATAACTTTATTTTTTTTTTGGTAATTCAACATCAGGACTTTAGATCAAAATGTACATACTTTTTATACAAGGAAGGCTCTATTCTATGTCCTGTAACCACAGTACAATACTGTATGCTGTACTGCATTATATGTTAAAATATTGACTTAATATTTCTATTAAATTATTAATGAAAATCTAAGATTTATAGACCAAGTTTTAAAAAAAAGATAATCCACACAAAACATTTTAGCATTTTTGCATAATGTGTTTTCACACTTCCTTTTAAAGGTTTATGGTCAATAAGGATTTTCTAATCTCTCTGGCTTTTGAACTTTTGAAATGCTCAGCAGGCTGCATTTATCTGATCAAAAATACAGCAAAACCGATAGTAATAATATTATTACACAATGTTTCAAATTTGAATATATTTTAACGCTAAAGCTGAACTTTCAGCAGGCAATACTTCAGTCTTCAGTGTCACGTGATCCTTCAGAAATCATTCTAATATGCTAATTTGGTGCTCAAGAAAAAAATATTATTATTATTGTCAATGTTAAAAACAGTTGTTTTACTTAAAAGTTTGGTGGAAACGGCAATACATTTTTTTATGATCCTTTGATGAACAGAAATTTTGAAGAAAAGCATTTATTTGAAATACAAACCTTTCGTAACATTATAAATGTCTTTACTATAATTTTTGATAAATTTAATGCATCCTTGCTTTCTTGAAAAAAATGCATTATTGAACTCACAGAATGACAAGGTTTCATTTGTCTGATGTTTGATTTAGATCAAAATATCTACATTTAGATAAAACATAACACTTCAAAAATCATCTATTTATTTATTTAGAGCACCTACTACAAAGCTACTACAATAGCACTTACTATTAACACTTTTACCTGTGCAGTGGAGCAAGAAAAAAGGACAGAAAGCAGACAAACACTCTGAGGACTGTGCTACCCCAAAATGCAATGGATGAGCCTAGCACACAGAGCAGTGGGGACACTATACGGGGCCATTCCTGCACAGAGGCCTTTGGATCCTGGGATATGTTCTCCACAGAGTTTAGAGGAAGAGAATCCACCGCAGGGAGTCCCAGAGAGGACCAGACATCCTGAAACCAGCTCTGCCTATGGTAGAACAATAGGGAGGGGATTGAAAAATATATACTGTAAACATTTTATAACTGTATAATTCGCAGGCAAAAATTTATTTGTATTGTCAAAACTGAACACTGCCTGAAAGAAAATATCTCCTGTATCAGGAATCACCTGAGCAGCAGCAGCAGCAGGAGGATGGGCAGTTCCAGTTTGTGGAGCTGTAACGATTTACTCATGCCCTCTTGGATTCCAGCAGGATGCCCAGATCTTTTGATGGAGCTCAGCTGAGCCCTGATCATCAGAAGAAGCACTACAGCTGAGTAGACAGGCAGAACTGGACCACAGAAACGCAGAATCTAAAGAAAAACAAATCCTTTTGAATATGAGGAATACTCTGAGGTTGAAAGTTAACAGCATGCCAAATGAAATACCACAATGTAAGCACACCTGCCCAAGCACTTTGGGGAACGAAGTCCGAATAGACACCTATAAAGACAAAATACAAAATTTGCTGCCGATAACTGATAAATTTGCCTTTAAGAAAACAACAAATGTGGATTAAATACCTTGTATTGGCAGTTGGGGGCAGTGTGGAGCTGCAGGAGGGCACTGGAGGCGTTGTCTGGGCGGCTGGTGTGAAGCATGCTGTAGATGTCAGATACCAAAGGAATACTTTGGTGGAAAAAAAGTCAGTCATAAATAACACAACCATCAGTACTCTGCCGCAAAAACAGAGCTGAGGAAAGTTAGCTGATTAATGACAAGACTCTTTCTACCTTGCCGTATCAAAGGAGTCTTCACGAAACCAAGGTACCCTCAGTCTGTACACACTGGGCAGTCTGTCTGTATAACACAATAGTATCAGACATACACATACAGCATCAAACGTGAGTCTTTTAAATCATCATGCTTCTTTTCTGGCAGATAAAGCTGAACAAACTGGTTACCTTTAGTGGCTTTGCAGTGACTCGTGATCGTTATTCTGAAAGCTTGATAAACCTGAAGGAACACAAAACAAATTCACTTTTATTATGCTTTCGGGTACATGTCTTATTTTAATTAAAGATTAGGGTGTAACAGATTACTGAATAGAACATCAACCTAGGGAGCTATTCTAAAGACCATTATGGGATTTGTACCATTATAAAAGCTTCTACTATGAATGGACATCTGAAAAATAGAGAAATAAATTCTATGGAGAATCTGAGGTTCAAAGGGAAGGAGAGCAGAACAACAGGGAATGCTGTGAGCGATCACCTGATGAAAGTCTTGCAGCTGTAGTGTATGAAGCAGCCCAGAGGAGTTAATGCTGATGTCACTAACAGTCAGACCTACAAACCGTCACATACAAGTTAAAGCATCCACATAGAATAAACACAACAAATTATTATTATTTTATTAAAGACTGACAGTGTAAGATTATTACATTGTATTACATTACATACAGGCCTATTTCATGTTAACAATGTGTAAAAATAGCTGTCATTAAGGCAAAATGGGCAACTAAAAAGCACTGCTCTGTATGACAGCATCTGGTAAATGCCTTGAAAGTAAAATGCAAACACAAGCATGCAGTTCAGTGGCTCACCAAAGGACAGCACATGAGGCACCTGCACTGAGACAGTCAAGCTCTCTTCTCTCTGCAGCTCACACTCCACTACGAACTACAAACAGACAATTAAGAGTTTAAAAAGTATCTTTAACCAAAAAAAAAAAAAAAAAACTCATCGCAAATTATTTTGACAAATCATTAAATGCATGTTTTAAGAAGGGAAATGTCTGCTAATGTGGTCTGTCATGTAATGCAAGTTTTCATTACGAACATGATGTGGACTGTAAATTAACCTCTAACCTGTGCTCCACTGGGGTTCGAGGCATCAATGATGAGATGAGAAACAGACAAAAGCTCACTGATTTTTACTGTTACAGCCTATAAAGAAACGGATAGTTTATACATCATCTTTTTTTTTTTTTGCAAAATGTAGCTATACAAGGTATGTTACTGAATAACCAAAGAATGACCTTATAAGCTGGAAGAAGTTCTGTCTGAGGTGAGAGATCTACTGCCTGAACACTGGGGGAAAAATAGATAAGAAAGCAATTTACAAAGCAAATAACTGAACACATACTATACAATTTATATTATCAACAACAGTCCATATTGATGGTATGGATCAACATGTGTGCAATGCACCAGACTTATGAAAATGTGCTAACTTTACGAGTGCGGATTCTATAAGGGCCTGGTGGTAATTATTTCTTTTTGAGAGGAATTTATGTGGTTTATTTTACTCACCACATCGAGCCACTCATCTGTGTACAGCCATACAGCCAGCTGGTCATTTCCTGTTGAACATGTACAAACTAAATGGTTCCGTAAAGAACCTTTACCATCTGAAGAACCTTTCTGTTTCACAAAAGGTTCTTTGTGGCGAAAGAAGGTTCTTCAGATTATAAAAAGTTAAGAAAGAGATGGTTCTTTAAAGAACCTTTGACTGAATGGTTCTTTGTGGAACCAAAAATGGTTGTTCTATGGCATCGCCGTGAAGAACCTTTTAACCACCTTTATTTTTAAGAGTGTAAGTCACGAGGAACAAAGAAAATCACAACTTGGCCATCAACAGCCAACATAATGGAAAAGCTGCACATTCCTGCAAAATATATACTTACTTTGCTTATTATTTAATAATAATAAATATTTTTTTACAAGTATGATTTTGCTTCATAATATTTTACCAGAGTTTTAAAACATAAGAATTTTTACATTAAATCACATCTGAATGCACATTTTCTTCATAACTGGGACACCACGTAAAGAGATTTAAAATGAATGCTCTTAAACAGACCTAATTTCACCAAATGTTTAGTGACATTTAAATCGAAATGTTACATTTAAATGAAAAAAGTTTTCTGGGTGTGATGCTGTTGGTCTCTCACCATATTATTACTGCGGCAGTGGAAATGACTGTAGGCTTTCCTTCGACTGGAGAGGGCAAACAGGAAGTACATGACTTGAGCTTCCTGCCAAGAGTTGGTTTACATTAGTGCAACGTTCAGAGAGGCACTGCTGGCATAATTTTGCCTGAGATGATGAAACATATTGTCACCTTGGGGGCATTGTAGAACAGACGGAGTGCGTTGACCTCCTTCCACGCCTCAGGAGCTGGAAGGATGGATGAACAGATTCGGATATAGATAGCAGCAAAAGGAGAATCAGATATTATCTTCCAGCTGTGATGAAAATTGATAAGCCTATAAATATACAGGTGCACACAAACACAGACCAGAGAAAGTGAAAGGGGCATCCTGTGCTCCTCCAGGCTGCAGCACTGGATGTCTAAAGAAGTGATAGTTCAGCACTGACATTCGCTTCTCAGGACTCTCTGTGAACTAAAGAGAAACACGAGTCAATAAAACACCTTAAACACACACTCACACTGTATTAGGAAATGACTCACCTGCCCTGTTTCAGGTTCAATAAGGTCGAAGAACGCCCGGACTGTGGCCAGAACCAGCTCCTTGCACCTTAAAGTATAGAGGATTTCACATTATAAAGGATGAAATTCATTAGCCATTAGGAAGTTAAGAGGCTTAAAGGGTTAGTTCACCCAAAAATTTTAATTTGTCCATAAATTACTCATCCTCAAGTCATCCTAGGTGTATATGACTTTCTTCTTTTAGACAAATCCAGTCTGAGTTATATTAAAAATTGTCTTTGATCTTTTAAGATGTTTCATGGCACTCAGCGGGTGTTGCATGCATCAGTCCAAAAAAAGTTCAATAAAAAGCGCCCATCCATAAAATAAATTTAAAAAGTGTCTCACATGGCACCGGAGGGTGAACAAAGGCCTTCTGTAATGAATCGATGCGTTTTTGTAAGAAAAATATCCATATTCAAAACGTTATAATCACTTTAATGTAGCTTGCGCCAACAGTTGTACACTGGAAGCAGCTCCAGGCGGATGAGGTATGAGGTCAGCGGTGCGCATGCTGAGTCTCGTGAAAACCATTGTTTGTTAACAGGAGATAAGTAAGCAAAGTTTCCTTACTTTAGCAAAGGAAAACCAGTCTCCTCTTGGCTTATATCGAAATCCTCCGACATTCTTCTTTACAAATCCTCGTCACTTCTGAGCGGCGCATGTGCAAAGCTGACCTCAAACCTCATCCGCCCGGATCTGCTTCCGTGTACAACTGTTGGTGCAAGCTACATTAAAGTGATTATTATGTTTTGAATATGGATATTTTTCTTACAAAATCGCATCGATTCGCTACAGGAGGCCTTTGTTCACCCCCCAGAGCCATGTGAGACACTTTTTTTTTTATGGATGGGCGCTTTTTATTTAACTTCTTTTGGACTGATGCATGCAACACCCGCTGAGTGCCATGAAACAGCTTGAAAGATCAAAGACTGGATTCGTCTGAAAGAAGACAGTCGTATACACCTAGGATGACTTGAGTGTGAGTAATTTATGGGTTAATTTTCATTTTTGGGTGAACTAATCCTTTAAGAGCAAAATAATTAACCATCAGTTTAAATTCTCTCTCCATTTTCATGAAACAATGCTAAGATACAAAAAACATACCAAACGATGGAAATGTGATCTGTGGAAACCCAGGTTCGGGGAACTGCAGTCGCCTAAAACCAATTCACAAAACACTGATGTACCATGGTAAGCACATTAAAAACAAATCAGGTTCTGCTTGAAAAAAATATCTTTAGTTAAATATTAAACTAAAGATAACTTTAATGGCTAGTAGACCTACCACTACTGACATCTTATTGAGGTCATCAATGGGGCAGGACAGTGCTGTCAAACCAGAGCGCACCTGGAAGTCAAGGTAACCACCACCCACAGAGAGAACGGTTACATTTCGAAGGTCTTCAGCATTTGTGGCCCAGCGATGCCTGACTGTAGAGTAAAACTCTACCACACACACACACACAATTCAGATGTTAGTGTACCAAAAAACAATCAAACTGAGAAAGTGTAGTATACAAATACACAAGTTTATACCTTCTGAATAAACTATTGTTAAAAAAGTATGGGGGCAGTATTTACTTTTCAGTTTTTGAAAGAAGTCTCTTATGCTCACCATAACTACATGTATTCATGTGAGCAAAAATACAGTTAAAAAAAAAGTTATATTGTAAAATTAATTATTATTAATTTGCTGATTTCTTATTACCAGTGTGGGAAAAAATTGTGCAGCTTAATTTTTGTGGAAACCATAACACATATTTTTTCAGGATTATTTGATGAATTAAAAATTCAGCAATTATTTGAAACAGATTTTTTGTAACATAATTGTCTTTACTGTTACATTTAATCAATTTATTGCATCCTTGTGAAATAAAAATAGCAATGTCTTTCAAAATAAAAAAGCAACTTTTGAACTGTAGTGTACCCTCAAAACTCTCAAACAAATCATCTGTACATATTTATGTCGGTCTGTTTTTTCCTACCCAGTATATAAGGATCCAGAGACAGGACAGGTGCCTGGTGGGGTGAGGCCTGGGTGATGATGAAGCTGACCAGGCGTGGGTTGAAACGTGCCAGGGTGAACAACGCTCTTGCCACCACTCCACCCATGGAATGACCCACCAGAACCACACCAGTGGGAGGGTCTGGACGGTCCTGCAGCCATGGGAATGTAGAAGAAAAAAATCACTGGTTTGAATTTAGATGACCTACTAATAGCAATGAGGTTCAATTACTAAGTGACTGAAAGGCTGGAATACACTACATGACTTTTAAAATCTAAACAGATTTTGAAACAATAGGCATAATACATTTGCTGACTTTGTGAATGGTTACAGAAAAAACTGGCATCATACATCAACATAGATGGCTGAAGATCAAACACAACCAGACTTTAACACTGTTTAAGCACAACACATGCAGAAACATGCGCCTTGTTGCTAGGAGACGCATGACAAATAAGAATATGCATTCTAAAATCGGCTCAAAGTATAAAACATGTTTTAGTCTGAAGCTAAAAATCAGTCTGTACCCATCAGAAACTGTGTGATTTTACATTTATATTTATGCATTTAGCTTTACAACTCATATTTCTTTCAAAGTATGAAATGACCCTGGTGTTGCTAAAGCAATAATCTTATGTTAAGCTACAGGATTTCGGCATTGTCTGTGTTGCAATGAGCTTTCACAATCTCTCTTTCTTCATCAGCAATGAAAAATCGGATAGTTTCATTAGTCGTGGAGTAAGTAAAAAAAAAAAAGCAAAAGTTATTCATATCACATATGTATGCATGTATAATTTGTGCTGAAATATTGAAGAATGCTCTGTGATATCTGCCAACTCTGACTGCCCAAAATCTGCAGACTGGCTCTGACTATGCAACTAGCATTGATTCCTCCAGACTGAAAATCTGTGCAATAGTTTTGCAGTATATTCAACCTTGAAGAAATATAAACATACAGGCCTATATTTTGTGTGCTATCAACTCAAAACTAATACTTGTCTATAAATGCAATCATTACTGTTAGTGCTCCAAGTGTGTATACTATGAACAAAAGTCTAGATAACTAATTTTGTGATCTGTAATTCTAACAAAGGAACAGAAAAGGATGGAAAGGAAATGGGAAGAAAGTAAAAGGGCAAAAGAGATGGAAAAGGATTAAAGATGCCCTTGACCTCTGACCTTGTAAAGGCGCAAGATGGCTTTGATGCTTTCATGTAGAAATTGAGTCTGTCTGCGCAAACTGCCCCCATACAGGGCCACCAACTCCTCGTTGAAGTCGATGGTGAACACGTTCATATGGATTCGCCTGTCCAGGTTCTCAGCCTTCCTCAATGCCACTGAACCCAGAGAACGAGCTGCAAGAGAGAGTAGAACAACATCTCTGTGTGTGCTCTCACCTGTCTTCCTCTGTTTGTAATGAACAATCAGAGTGTTTCATAAGTACTGGGGAAAAAGTCAGGAGGAGGATCAAGATTGATTGAGCAAACGAACAGGTTACCCACCTTAAAGAAAAAGTAAACAAAACCAAGCTATTTACATGGCACATGTGTACATGTGTAAGATGTGCCGACTGAAATGAGGAAAAACCAGTTCCATCTCACCTTGCTTGTAGCTGCCCGCATTCCCAGGCAAGAAGAGTACAGGAGCACCAGTGAGCTTGAGTCCTCTGGTCTCCTGAGCATATGCGCCCTCTCCATACAGATACAGCCCGTATGATGGGTACTGGCGCGCAACACGCTTCGGAAGCTGCACACGCTAAAAACATACAGGTGAAGAGAATGCAAGACCACAAGCAAATCAAGTTGTAGAACAGGACTCCTGAAACAAACGACACTTTAAAAGCATGTTCAGGTTGCAGTGCATGTTTGAATGTATGGCAGGTAGAGCTTCATTTTGAGATGTACTCGCAATGTTCTTATAAGCAACTAGGGAATACACTAGGCTTTACCTGCAAGTGGTTACACCATGGTATTACATATGATTTTCTTTTGGATTTTAAATACCTCTATTTTTCACTTAAACATTTCAGTAACTAAATGATGACATATTTGTTATATTTCATATAGAAAAAAACACGATGCATACTTTTCAGGCAAATATGGTCTTTTACCATAAATCCATTACTATATAAATAATAAAAACATATTAAAAACACAAATGTGACCCACAAGTGGTGGATAACAGAGGGTTAAAAAGATTTTGCCCATTGAAATATTGTATAATGACTGATGTTGCTGATAAGCAATGTTTGTTGTTGCCAAAACAACAGGTAGAATGACAGGTATGAGGAACTGATGCATGGCCTGCCAGTGAATTGTGTTGTGAGCTAGTGATGTTGCTCAAATGAGAAGAAATGATGCATTTTGTGAATTGCAAAGCAAACGTGTGAAGAAAGCAACAGTGAGACAGACTGTGTTTGCAGTGATACTCACTCGGTATTCTGGGTACTCGAACATGTATGTCATGCTGCATCGGTTCTCCCCGAAACCAAATAATAATTCCCGCAAACCCACGAGCAAAAGCCCAAAAGCAACGCCGCAAAACGCGTATAAAGCGAGTCTCATGTCTCTACAAGATTTGTTTGATTTTATTTACAAATTCATTGTAATCGTGTCTCCGCTTTCCTCGTTGTAAACCCACAGTCTATGTTGTAAACCCACACTGCCTGTTTAAACCTATAGGAAACCTCCTACGGACCTGTCACGCAGCCCCTGGCATGACGTCACGACGCAGACAGGAGAGTAGCCAATGGAGAGGCAGAATAGGTTCTGGGTTTGGCCAATCACAATTCACAGTGGGCGGGATGGCAGGAGAACGGTGGGATCATCGTGGAATATTTCTGCTCAATGTAAAACGCAGAAAGGCGTCAATAACGGGGTCATTCAAGGTCCGTCGTGTCATCTTGAATGCTTAAGTTTAAAGCAAGGGGACGTAGTGCCTGCATCGCGTATAATTACACATCAAATATCAGGAATTAAGATTATGCAGTATACTTTCATATGCCCATTATGTCTTACTATAATGGATATAAACATGGTAATATTAAAAATCATATTGGTTTTCTATCACAATTTATCTGGATATTGTTGTATGTTCCCTGTAACTAACATGAGCAATAAGCAGTAAAGGAATTGGTTAATTTTTTTTGTTTGTTTTTTGGGATTTAGTTGGTTTGCTATCAAATATTTTCACTTTAAAGCATTGCGATTAGGAAATTACAGAACACAGTATAGTATAGTATTTTATAGTATAGTATTTAGTATTTTTTATTTTATTTATTGCTACAGAGCTATAATTAATAAAGTTCGAAGGTGTCTGAGATTGACCAGAGCATTTTTCAGAAAGTCTGGTGTGCACTTTTATAGAAACACAAGCATATGTTTATGTTATTAAGCATTAAAAAGTACTGCATTGTATGTTCAATGAAAAAAAGCATGTACAAAACCAAGAAAAATAACAATGACAGGAAAATAATATTTGGTTCCAAATGTCTTTTCTGTACTGTATATGACATCACAAAATAAGTAGATTCCATTAGAATTACTAACCATTTATAACATCCTAGAGAAAATTAAAAGTACAATATTTTTATGAATTATGATATTTTATTACATCATGTTTTTTTGCACTAAAACGTTTTACATAACATGGAAGTTTTGATAAAACCGTTACAGAACTTACTGGTCAGTTCATCATTCTGTATGAGCCTGTCTTTCAAAGTATCCAGTAGGGCTGTGCAATATATCGAAATTATCGAAATATCGCAAATGTACATATCGCAATATGCATATCGCTACGGCTTGCAATACTTGGGGCCATGCACAAAAGACAAAGAGAAAATCACTCACTGCTTAAATAAGAATCAGTGCATATTGAATTCAAAGAGGAAATACTAAGCAGTGTTGTATTTTTCCTTTTTATTATTCAGTTCCTAAACTCATGTTAAAATGATTACACTAATGTTAAAATTACATTTTTATGTAATGCTCGAGGAAAACACTACCGTTCATTTTCAGAAGTTGTTGTAGGGGTCCTTTCTTCTCACAAAAAGTGAAACATGTATGCTAGTTATATTAGAATCAGAATCAGAATGAGCTTTATTCACCACTTAAGTGTGCGCAAACACAAGGAACTTGTTGTGGTTTTACAGGAGCTCTTGATACATACATACAATTAACCATATATATATATATGACACAAGATAGTTATAGAAGTTCACAGAACTGACTCAGCAACAGCTGAGTAAAATTGTTTCATTTGAGCATGTGGCACTTTAAGCATTATCGTATCGCATATCGCATTTTTCTTCAATATCGCACAGCCCTAGTATCCAGGCAGTGGTCTTTGTGGCTTTAATACTAAAGAATTGCTCTTTATTTCTCCTGATATTTCTTGTATAGTTTTACAATGTGCAGTCAACTTCACCCCAAAACTCATCACACAATGTTAAAAAATATATATTTTTTAATAACCAAACTGATCAATGAGGAGCAAACCATAAATTACAAACAATAAAATAGTTAATAATGTGAAATCAGTGAGATAAAACACACTGAAGTATACAGCAAATCAACATTTATAACCTTCTATTGCCAATGGAAAGTACCAGGAGCTGACAATATTTTAGCATTATTTTTTTCCAGTGAAGGTTAGTGAATTGAGCCTACAAGTTTTGGCATGATGAGCAATATTAAAAGAAAAAAGCATGAAAAAAACCTCTCCTATCCAAATTAAACACACTTAGTCAAGAAGTTTTGAGTGCTCTATTCTCGTGATGATCCAATCTGGAGTCACATCTTGAGTAAACTCCCTTTGGAATCTGTCAAAACAGGAAAACAAGACAGACATAAATGTTAAGAGTGATGTTTATATTATAATTTACTACAGTTATAACATAATATTGATATTTCTATGACATTAACTCAAGGTATTAAAATTGTAGCTTTCTATTATTCACAATATGAATAGTTAAATTAAACTGTAATAAAAACATAAGAACCTATATAGAGTCAAACCAAAAATTATTCAGACACCAGATATAATTTTTGTAATTTTTTACTAGTGGGTGCAGGTCACTTTAGTTCATTTATGTAAGTGAGGATGGACTGTGACATATAATACCCAAAAATTCTTCATACAGTGGACTTCCAGTAAAATTGATAAAAATTTGGGACCAAAAATTATTCAGACACTTTGACCTGACCATGTTTTGCTTCAGTGTTTTTTCTTTAATTGCTAATGTGACCTTTTTACACCACAGACTGAACAAAATTAAGCATTGCTTGGTAATTGGTTGACCTAAATTGGTATTATGTAATTGTGTACTTAAATTTAACAGCTGACAGCTATTCAACCGAATTCATTACATACCTTTCCATCAAAGTTATCTGACGTTATCAAGATGAATGTTTTCATGTCATGTTTCATTACCATTTTCTAAACTATAGCGAATATGCTGTGATAGTGTGAGAAAGTGGGTGCAGGACACTTTAGTTCATTTATGTAAGTGAGGATGGACTGTGACATATAATACCCAAAAATTCTTCAGTAAAATTGATAAAAATTTGGGACCAAAAATTATTCAGACACTTTGACCTGACCATGTTTTGCTTCAGTGTTTTTTCTTTAATTGCTAATGTGACCTTTTTACACCACAGACTGAACAAAATTAAGCATTGCTTGGTAATTGGTTGACCTAAATTGGTATTATGTAATTGTGTACTTAAATTTAACAGCTGACAGCTATTCAACCGAATTCATTACATACCTTTCCATCAAAGTTATCTGACGTTATCAAGATGAATGTTTTCATGTCATGTTTCATTACCATTTTCTAAACTATAGCGAATATGCTGTGATAGTGTGAGAAATGTTGAAGGTGTCTGAATAAACTTAGGTTTGACTGTATATATATATATATACACATGTAAGCCAATGAAAAGAATCATCACAATACTCACTCATAATTGGCTGTCAGCAATCTCTTGGTTTCTGGTCTCTCTCCCTCTTCACCAATGGCAACCTGGAATATTCTTGCTCCCTCCATACTCTCATCAGGAAGTCTGGCACTCGTCAAGTACCAAAAACGCATCAAAATACTTACATATTTCCTCCCTGAAAGCAATGGGAAAACACTGCAATTATTTTTTGCATATATGTGCAAAAAATTGCATACATTTTTTTTTTACGTACAAATTTATTTTTTTTCTCAATAGTAACTTACTGAACCCATTAAATTTGGCTGGCATAAGAAACAGTCTGACAAAAACGATAAATATGCTGATTTCAAAGCTTATATTTCCTACATTACACGCCCACAAACAATAATTAAACAAATTACCTGGGCGAATATTGCGTGGTATGAAGCGTTATAGGGTCTCACCGCTATCATCATAGTAAATGCCCACATCTCCTGTCGTTGTGTACACGATCTCATCGGACTCAGCAGACAGCGCCCTCTGGTGGCTCAAAGGCAATTGAGCGCATTTTTCCTCAAGTTTCCCTATTAGCTATGGGAGGGTATATTAGATGAATTTCTCTAAATGAAATCGAGAATCTTATACAGGTAAATAATATTAATAATATAATATAAGTGATTGGTATCTTCATGTACTTACATCTTTAGCTACTAATCCTTCAAGAGCCTCGAACTTGCACTGAGACAGCAATCTTGATACATGTGAGAAAGCCTGAGAGTAAAAGGAGAAGTTTAAGCACTCTGCTTATTCTCTCCGTGATCATGTAACTCAAAACTACATTGGTTAAGTTTTCCCGTTTTAACAAAGTGTATCTGTCTCTCTTCACTTGCTAAAACATACACACTAAAACATTTTTTCAATCCTAAACTCTATTGTACACTATGGAAGCCCGTTTCCGCCACTAAATAAAAAAATATAATTCTGTAAGTCATAATAATGAGAAACTAAGTCATTATTATGAGAAACTAAGTCATTATTATGAGAAACTAAGTCATAATAATGAGAAACTAAGTCATAATAATGAGAAACTAAGTCATAATAATGAGAAACTAAGTCATTATTTCGAGAAACTAAGTCATAATAATGAGAAACTAAGTCATAATAATGAGAAACTAAGTCATAATAATGAGAAACTAAGTCATAATAATGAGAAACTAAGTCATTATTTCGAGAAACTAAGTCATAATAATGAGAAACTAAGTCATAATAATGAGAAACTAAGTCATATGACTTACAGAATTATATTTTTTTATTTAGTGGCGGAAACGGGCTTCCATAGTACACAGTTTACATACCAGTCAAACGTTTTTGAACAGTAAGATTTTTTTAATGTTTTTTTTTTTTTTTAAAGAAGTCTCTTCTGCTCACCAAGCCTGCATTTATTTGATCCAAAGTACAGCAAAAAAATTCATCGAGAATCTTATACAGGTAAATAATATTAATAATATAATATAAGTGATTGGTATCTTCATGTACTTACATCTTTAGCTACTAATCCTTCAAGAGCCTCGAACTTGCACTGAGACAGCAATCTTGATACATGTGAGAAAGCCTGAGAGTAAAAGGAGAAGTTTAAGCACTCTGCTTATTCTCTCCGTGATCATGTAACTCAAAACTACATTGGTTAAGTTTTCCCGTTTTAACAAAGTGTATCTGTCTCTCTTCACTTGCTAAAACATACACACTAAAACATTTTTTCAATCCTAAACTCTATTGTACACAGTTTACATACCAGTCAAACGTTTTTGAACAGTAAGATTTTTTTAATGTTTTTTTTTTTTTTAAAGAAGTCTCTTCTGCTCACCAAGCCTGCATTTATTTGATCCAAAGTACAGCAAAAAAATTCCTGTGATTTCAAAACTGAATTTCAGCATCATTTCTCCAGTCTTCAGAGTCACATGATCCTTCAGAAATCATTCTAATATATAAATGTCTTTATCATCACTTTATCAATTTAAAGCATCCTTGCTAAATAAAAAGTGTTAATTTCTCCCCCTCCCCCCAAAAAAACTTTAACTTTTGTGTATAATGTTACAAAATATTTTTATTTTAGAAAGTTCAAAAGGACAGCATTTTTTCTGAAATAGAAATCTTTTGTAACATTATAAATGTCTTTATCATCACTTTATCAATTCAAAGCATCCTTGCTAAATAAAAAGTGTTAATTTCTCCCCCTCCCCCCAAAAAACTTTAACTTTTGTGTATAATGTTACAAAATATTTTTATTTCAGATAAATGCTGATCTTTAGATCTTTCTATTCATCAAAGAATCATGAAATATGTACTTTTAAATATTGATAACAATAATAATAATAAAATGTTTCTTGAACAGCACATCAGTATATTAGAATGATTTCTGAAGGATCGTGTGACACTGAAGACTGGAGAAATGATGCTGAAAATTCAGCTTTGATCACAGGAATTAATTACATTTTAAAATATATTAAAATAGGGAGCAGTTATTTTAAATAGTAAAAGTATTTCACAATATTACTTCTTTTGCTGTATTTTGGATCAAACAAATGCAGGTTTGCTGAGCAGAAGAGACTTCTTTATAAAACATTAAACATCTTACTGTTCAAAAACTCTTGACTAGTAGTGTAGGCTACAACCAGAAGCAAGCATATTAAAATGTCCAATCAGCCAATAAATAATAAATAAAGAAATAAAAAAAAGTTTATAAAAGACTAAAATTGTATCATTTTCCCATATCCTTACAATAAATAAATACAAAAACAAAATTCAAATTTGAATGTTCATTAACATTCAACCAAATTTAAAATGCATAAAAGACAGAAAAATTACCATTATAAAAATAAGACATTAAAATGTGTCCATAATTATTATAGCACAGGCACTGTCATAACTGACATTATATAGCCTATTTTCTTTTTCTAACGCTTTGTCGGGTGTTGGCATTCACCTGTTTGGCTCCTTCCGTGAACTCCTCAATGCTGAACTCTTTGTCGAAGTAAGCTCGGATGAGGAAGAGGTAGATGCGGGTTCGGAACCAGATGAAGGGGTTCGGGACCCCAATAACCACAACCTTCTGGTTCTGTTTGTGTCTCCCCCGCTCAGAGCTGTACTGGCGAGCATCACACACTGCAGACGCCGCGGGGGCGAGTCGTCTGGACCGAGTCGCTGAAAATGACTTCGATGTAAAGTACCGGATCAGGATCGAAACGGGCCTGTTACAGCTGCAGCACCTCAGCAAGGGCAGCGCCATCTTTCTACCGTCATCCTCAGCGGCCCATCTGTTACGGAAATCCGACTGACAACATCCGAAAGAGACAAGTTCCACATTTATAGATAGATATATAACAGATTTTAACAGTATATCAGTATTTTCAGACAAAGCAGACTCACTCTTTATTTAAATTCATTAAATGTATACTATGTGTGTTCTTTGTAAAAAGAATACGTCAAAGACGTGCTTTTAGTAGCCAAGTCTAATTTGTTCACGAATGAGTCGGTTCACTTAAATGAATCAATTGACTGAATTGGTCTGAGGAGTTCTCGGGTCAACATCTCACCTACTCATTTAATCCATGATTAAAACACACGTCTTAAAAGGTAATAAATAAAAATACATGTCTACGTGGGGTTATTTGGATGATTTAGTTCAGAGCATAGAGACTCGGCTTTAAATTCGGTTCTTTGAAACAAACTTTAAAAGAGTCGACTCGCACAAACGAGTCGGACTTCCTATCACCATACTGTATATATTCTAAGGAAGGCGGAATAGAGCAGTTGGCAGCGAATGGACAGTAAACTTCAAACTGTCAGAAATGGATTGTCAAGAAAAGCTGGAGGTGCCCGTGTACACCGATGTGGACAGAGAGACTTTCTTGAGGGATATATATCCGCTGGTAACTCGTGTATTATATATTAAACAGCCATTTATTGCCGTGTTGTGGTAAATGAATCACACATGTCTTGTTTAGCGTAGACCAGCGGTTCTGAAGCGCGTGCCCCTGGGGCCCTGTATGCGCGCGTGGACGGTGAGTTATCTCGCGCAGAAGGGGGGAGACCGCGAGGTCAAAGTGCATGTGTCCCCAGAGCCCAGGATGGACTTTCTGCACAAGAACTTTGTGTACAGGTGTGTGCGATTTATCACGAATCCTTTATACTTGAGCCCAACACAAAACTGTGGAAGCATAACTTAAGTCTGTATTTCAGGACTCTGCCATTTGACAAGTTCATTCAGAGAGCTGCAGAGGCAAAGCACTCAGATTTCTTCATTAGTGAGGTTAGTTACCTTAAAAAGTACATTTGAAAGTTTTTTTTTAATTCTTTTGATTATAACATTCTATTTGACTAATAGTTTGTGCCATTTATGCTAAATTAGTACGCATAAGTTTAGCTGCACATTAGTGGGCAGCAGAAAACATGTGTTTGGTTGTGTGGGCCACGAGTTGGAAAAGGTTGGGAACCACTGGACTATATTTTTGCATAACCTACCTATATTAACAAAATATATATTTTTTATTAATAATAATTAATGGCCCTCCTACTATGACCGTCACGGCCCACAGGTTGAAAACTGCTGAAATATGTCTTCATGTTCCAACAGGATGAAAGCTACTACTTGCGCTCACTTGGAGAAGATGTTCGTAAGGTAGCTTAAATTACTCTTAGTAATGAATATCGTGCCTGTTTTGGACTGTAGAGTTTAATTTGAATATAGGCTGCAATGTGGCAGCATATTCACTGTAAAATGCCTGTAATATATTTTTTAAATGTATTAATACTGATTCCTTCCCCTTTCAGGAACCAGCTGATTTAAGGAAGCAGTTCCCTGAGCTGGCAGAGGATTTCCATATACCCCAGTTCTTTGAGCCAGAGCAGTTTTTCTCCAGCGTCTTTCGCATCAGTTCCCCTGGTCTGCAGTTGTGGACACACTACGATGTGAGTTCTTGATGTCTAAAGGTGACACTGGTCAAATTTTTTTTTTTTTTTTGCAGACAAGCTAATGAAAAGCTCACTTGAATGTCTTTGTTTATGCAATATCTCTTCACACTATGTATACATATTCAAACTTGTTAACAGTGTTTTTTTATTTACACTAACTCATTATTGCTCAATTTACCCATACCACAATTAGCATAATACTTCTATTAACATCTTGAATGAATAGCATCTATCACTTTTTGGGCTAAAATCTACACTGCCATTCAGAAGTTTGGGGTCACTGTGATTTTTTTTTTAACCATTCTTGTTATTTTATTGTTTACCATCAGGTAATGGACAACCTTCTGGCTCAAGTTACAGGAAGAAAGCGTGTTGTTCTGTACAGCCCCAAAGATGCCCTTTATCTCTACCTCACAGGTAGATGACTGTCAATATATGCATTATATACATAGCACATACATAATAGTAAACAAACTGTGTAAAGTTTCATCTGAATGTTATTTTGCTAATTCACTATAACTTTAATTGTGATATTATTTTTTAGGGGACAAGTCTGAAGTTTTGGACATTGACACAACTGATCTGCAGCTTTATCCTGAGTTTGTGAAAGCAAGTCGCTATGAGTGTATTCTGGAACCAGGAGACCTGCTCTTCATTCCAGGTATTCTATTCTTAAACCAGACCAACTAGTTATACATAATCACAGCACCATTATAAAATTATATACTTTTAACATTGTGAACCTCACATACATCTAAGTGTGCTCTTATCCTAAAGTAGTGCTGAATTGCATTCAGAAAAATGCTACTTTTGTTTGTATTTCCTTAGCACTTTGGTTTCACAATACCCTGGCTCTCCAGTTTGGAGTTGGTGTCAACGTGTTCTGGAGACATCTGCCACCTGAGGGTTATGATAAGAAAGATCCATATGGAAACAAAGACCCAGTAGCAGCCTCTCGAGCCCTGCAGTCACTAGAGAGGACTTTAGGCATCTTGGAAGAACTGCCACCTGATTATCAGGATTTCTATGCTCGTCGCATGGTGCTGCGGATTCAAAGCCGGGCCTACCTTAGGCAAAATTCAGACACAGCATAGTTCTCTCACTGTTTACACTGAAATGGAGCTATAGAGTTTGAGAATGACAATAAAGACATTTTAGTTTCTTTCCAAAAAATTAATGATTAAATATATTAATATACTGCTGGTTTAAAGCATGGTCTCAAATCAACAGTTCTGGAGCTCGTGCAGTAACTATTAGGACACAGTTCTGACAAAATTAGGCTTCCTGTAACAATTGTTGGTAACACTTTATTTTAAGGTGTCCTTGTTACACGTTACATATACTTATTATAATAACATTATATTACATTATAATTAATTACATGCAAGTAACCCTAAGCCAAACCATAATCCTAACCCTAACCATATAGTAAGTACATGTAGTTAATTAATATTACTCTGTACTTAAATGTATAACTACACTTTAACAAGGACATCGTAAAATAAAGTGTAACCAAATTGTTCAATTGGACCAGTTGCTTCAAAAAGTATGTTTTTTTTTTTCTCTACAACTTGTAACACACTGAAAACATCTATAAATAGGACTAAAATTATACAGTGCTTTAGAATGAGGGTTGCCAAAATTGTTTGGTCAACCAAAACCTAAAATGTTTACTTGTTGTACACCCTAAAATAAAAAGAGACAGGTAGACATTAGGCTACCTCTTAAGCCTTTCAGTTGCCTATAGTCATCCTGGCCAAATTTGCCCATTGGCCTCTGATCATCATGGCCTCCTAACAATCCCCATATCTGCTAATTGGCTTCATCACTCTGTCTCCTCTCCACCAGTAAGCTGGTGTGTGGTGGGCGTTCTGGCGCACTATGGCTGCCGTCGCATCATCCAGGTGGATGCTGCACACTGGTGGTGGATGAGGAGATACCCCCTGACAATGTAAATCGCTTTGAGTGCCTAGAAAAGCGCTATATAAATGTAATGAATCAATTATAGTAAAGTAAAAAAGAGAATTTGGTGCCATAAAATAAAACAGCTGGCAATATCAACAAAAATGTATTGTGTAAGTACAATGCTAAACTTTTCGGAGGATGCAAAACAAAACCAATGACACACACACAAACATATATATATACAAATAATTCACAAAAATCTAACCTTTCATTGAAGTAAAACAATTTAAAGTGGGTAGAAAGTCTCATGATGAAATAAATGTTTTTCTTCAATGCATGTTGGCCACAATTATTGGCACTATCTCTGAAGTATATCCCCATTAATATTTAAATTTTTTAGCACACCAGGGTGACTAGGAGCATGAAATTGTCCAGCCATGACTTCCTGTTCCGCAGGATTATAAATATGAGGAACACAAAGGCCGAATTGCCTTAATCATCCATCACAAGGAGTAAAACCAAAGAATATAGATCTGATGTGCAGAACAAGATTGTTGTGCTTCACAAAATAGAAAGTGGCTGTAAGAAAAGAGCTAAAGCATTAAAAATCCCCATTTCCACCATCAGGGCAATAATTAAGAAGTTCCAATCAACTAAAGATGTTACAAATCTGCCTGGAAGAGGACGTGTGTCTATATCGTCCTAATGCACGGTGAGGAGGAGGAGAGTTTGAGTGGCCAAAGACTCTCCAAGGGTCACAGCTGGAGAATTGTAGAGATTAGTTGAGTCTTGGGGTCAGAAAGCCTAAAAAAATATATCAAATAGCCCCTACATCACCACATGTTGTTCGGGAGGGTTTCAAGAAAAATTCTCCTTGTTCATCCAAAAACAAACTCCAGCATATTCAGTTGTCAGACACGAGTGGAACTTAAAATGGCACTGGCTTCTAGGTCAGATGAAACTAAAAAAAAAAATAGCTTTTTAGCAGCAAGCCCACGAGATGGGTTTAGTACAAACATGGATAGAAAGTGCCCCATGCCCACGGTTAAATATACTGCTGGATCTTTAATGTTGTGGGCCTGTTTTTCTGCCAGGGGTCCTGGACCTTGTTCAGATGCATGGCATCATGGATTCTATCAAATACCAACATAAAAAATCTAAACTTGACTCTGTTAGAAATCTTATAATGGGCAGTGGTTGGATCTTCCATCAGGACAATAATCCAAAACAAACATCAAAATCAACACAAAAATGGGTCACTGAGCACAAAATGAACCTTCTACCATGGCTGTCCCAGTCCTCCGACCTAAATGCTATAGAAAATGAGTGGGATGAACTGAAGAGAAGAAGCACCAACATGGAGCTGTGAATCTGAAGGATCTGGAGAGATTCTGGAGGAAGGAATGGTCTCTGGATCTCTTATCAGGTGTTCTCCAAACTCTTCAGGCATAATAGTTGAAAACTCAGAGCTGTTATCTTGAGAAAAGGACGTTGCAATAATTGTGGCCAACATGAACTACAGAAAGCATTTATTTCACAATGAGATTTCCCCCCATTTCAATTGTTTTACTTCAATGATAAGTTAGAATTTTGTAAATGTTAGAAAACACTCTCTGTCTTTCTGTTGATTCCAGACATGCCTTACCCCTCCTTTTTCTCCCTGAGACTAGCATATTCTCACCGGAGTTTACGATACGCCTACATGCTACATCATCTGCTGGACACCACTGCGTACGACAGTTAGTGGAAGTTAGAGATTAAGGTTTATAAAGTTGCAAATATGGATATTCTTCTTACACAAACGCATCGCGCCGCTTCAGAGGCCTTTATTTACCCCCCGAGGCCATGTGGACTTCTTTTGTAATGGATGGGTGCAATTTTTTGGACTTCAAATTTTGGGCTACCATCCACTCCCATTATAAAGCATGGATTACCCTGGACATTATTTAATATAACTCCGATTGTATTCGTCTGAAAGAAGAATGTCATATACACCTAGGATGGCTTGAGGGTGAGTAAATCATGGGGTAATTTTCGTTTTTGGGTGAACTATCCCTTTAATAATAAACGAGCGCTGCTGCGCGCATGCGTGCTAAACTCAACACCGGGACACGAGAGCACCCAAACGGAAGCTAGAATCCATCATAGCGCCGGGAAAAAAGGTGGAGAGTTCGTTACCTCGCGGCTGAGCAAATGGAGCGTAGGCTACGCCACTAGAGAAGTTTACCAAAGTATGACAACTTCTGCCTCGGAAAGAGTCCACACGGTTTAATTTACCTCAGCACCGTGATGTCTAATGACAAGGTAAAAAAATAAAATAAAAATACATTTATATTTTCACAAAGTTACGTTTACGACGTAAGGACATAAATCGGCGCGTTTGAAACTAGTGTTGAATTTGAAAATATCGAAACTAACATCATTTAGTCTTTAAAAATTATTTATTGGATATCCTGACCCAAAAGTATTTTAGCAATGAATCCATACCGTCTTCAAATGAAGCCAAGCGGGGTTTGAAATTAACGCCCCCCTAAAAATCAGCTGTGGTGGGTAACGCTGCCAAATCACTAGCCAATTTGGCTGGTTACTTTTCGTAAATTGTTCATTAATTAATTTCTTGGGGAAGTTCATGTAAGACAAATATGCGCAGATTTAGCGCAAGTAGGCTGCTGAACTCGTGACTCATCATGATATATGAAATGCAGCCTAATTGCGCAGCATCTGCGGCTGCGCAAATCTAGCTTACTGGAACACGGGCGATTCTAAGATTTTCGTTTTAGGGGGGCTCAGCCCCCAATGAGGGTATAATAATAAAAAATAATAGTAAACATATAAATAAAATAAAAAATGATTGACTGATAGGGTAAGGTGGTAAACTAAACTTATTGCATTTTGCAACTTATTGTATTCCACTGTACTGCATAGATAAGTATAACATTTGAGTACTGAATAAACCATACAAGTCTTCCTGAATCCTGATCTCTCTCGCTCTCTCTCATCTTAATGGGGACATTCCATAGGCGTAATGTTTTTTATACTGTACAAACTGTATATTCTATCACCTTACACCTAAACCCCTTACAGGAAACTTTCTGCATTTTTACAGTTTTAAAAAAACTTTGTTTACTTTATTTTTATATCAGTTTTATGTCCCCAAAGGGAGGTCTTTGGGGATTGTGTCATGTTTAGCTCACTTTTGGGTACAAATTTGTCCCCAAAATATGGTTAAGTAGGTACACACACACACACACACACACACACACACCTGTTTGCTGTACAAACAAAATTTAACTGTTTGAATTTCTAGTACAACCCTCTTTCTTTAGCTCAAGTATGCAAAACTATTTGCCATATGCACTGTAATTGTTTTATATTAAAAGTAACATTTTCAAATAAAAATGGCAATGGAAAACCGATTGCTCCCCCATGATATTTTGTAAACTGTCTTTATGACAAAGAACTGCACAGATGCAGATATTGTAACAATCTATCGATAAACACACACCATGTCCTCTGTTTCTCGCTCTGCGCCTCTGCGGAATGAAGAACGTGCTGAAAGACGGGGAGGAGCCGAAGTCTGCCGCCATTTTCATATGAAATTTAAAGGGGACTGAGTCGATCACAAATTTGTGTACAGTTTATGTAGCTAATCGCAAAATTTTTAGGGGGCCTGAGTTTTATATATATATATATATATATATATATATATATATATATACACAATTCGCCGTTGGTATTTATTTATACAACAATTCGTTCTGGTTCTCAAATTTGATTGGTTGAGAACCGTGAGATATTGTTCTGGTATCGCTACAGGAACGCCCTTTCACAATTTTGTATCATTCCGCTATGTCTGTCTTTTTTTATTATTTGCTGAGCTAATCGTAGAGTATGTTAGTTAATATAAGAAGAAACGTCTAGCTTGGCGGTTTCTCTCTCTCCCATTTGGATGCACGTCTTGCCCATAGACTGTATAAAAACATGGACGTAGTGTCCGTGACGTCACCCGTAGGGTTCCAAAGAGAGTTTTTGGAGCTCAAAAGTGGGCGGAGCCAGCCGTCGCCATCTTGGCAGTGCGTCGCAGCGCGTCACTCCCGGATAATCGAAGATGGGCAAAGAGGCGGGAGCTGGTTGTTGAAACCACGCCCACCTAGCGCGATGGTGGTGACAGCAGCGGCAATCCACTTGTCACTCAAGTGGCCATGCCCTTAATTATGCAGAACTTTAAGGTTATAAATAAATTCACCCCCCTCACAGTTGTCATGAAGGGCAAAATTAGCTATATAGACCAAAATAATTTTTTGTATGACTCTCGTACTCGAGCGATATTGCTCGTGTATATATACACTGAACAAAATTATAAATGCAACCCTTTTGTTTTTGCCCCCTTTTCATGAGCTGAACTCAAAGATCTAAGACTTTTTCTATGTACACAAAAGGCATATTTCTCTCAAATATTGTTCACAAATCTGTCTAAATCTGTGTTAGTGAGCACTTCTCCTTTGCGACCCCCCCAATACAGTAAAACTGCACATTTTAGAGTGGCCTTTTATTGTGGCCAGCCTAAGGCACACCTGTGCAATAATCATGCTGTCTAATCAGGATCTTGATATGCCACACCTGTGAGGTGGATGGATTATCTCGGCAAAGGAGAAGTGCTCACTAACACAGATTTAGACAGATTTGTGAACAATATTTGAGAGAAAAAAATGGGGGCAAAAACAAAAGTGTTGCGTTTATAATTTTGTTCTGTGTGTGTGTGTGTAATATATATATATTAGGCATGGGCCGATTACCGGTTTAAAGGTATACCGCAATTTGAAAATGCTAATATTTTCCATTATACCGGTCCTGCGGTATGCGCTGTTTTGCATGTCTTTTCAAAGACTGAAAGTGTAGGAATCCCTCAGGTTGAGTGCAGTGTAGAAAGTAACATGACCCCTCCTCCTCCTGTTGGTGTGAGCGAGCGGTCAGTCACGTGTGTGTAGGATGCTCAAACTAAGGAGCTTCCCCTGGAACTTACGCGATCGGCA